GCAAAGCCAACAAAAGGGCCTCCCTACTCCACCCTGGGGCTGGTGAATCACCAGGACTTTGGGGGGGGCGTGTGTGTTGCCAATATCATCATGACACAGCAAGAATCTTATCGGCCCAAGGGGAAGGCAGTCCAGAAAAATTCCGAGGAAAGGGAGGTGCCGGGTTGTCAGGTCATCCTTTGTACCCGTCACTGGGATGGGTCCCGAGCACCCATTGAGCCCATGGCCTCTGTGGTCCAGACAGACGAGGGGCTGAGAACCAGGCAGTAAGCCAATCCTGTCGAAGTCCATTCCCAGTCTTATCTCTTTCTCTTACTCCCATTCCTCTCTATATCCCTGGAGGGAAGAGTCACTCCAGGCTGGCCCAGGTCCTACCAGATGGGGAAGGAAAGAATCTGCTGGGCCCAAGATTCTTCCCCACATGCTTGCCTGTAAAGAAAAACTGGTTTCTTTCTTTAAAAATTTCTTTTTATTATTGATTTCCGAGAGGAAGGGAGAGGGAGAGAGAAACATCAATGATAAGAGAGAATCATTGATCGGCTGCCTCCTGCATGCCCCCTCCTGGGGATTGAGCCCACAACCCAGGCATATGCCCTGACCAGGAATGGAACCGTGACCTCCTGGTTTATAGGTCAACACTCAACCACTGAGCCACACCGGCCAGGCAGAAACTGGTTTCTTTTATCCCAAAGTTTTCTGGACTGGGACAGTAAGTACCTACAAGCTCTTCCTACTTGGGGTGGGAATCCTGAGATGGGGGGAAGTGGCTACACAGAAGGGGGAACAGACAGCAGCTTCAAGCCCATTGGGTAACCCCATGAGCCAGCATTACAATATCCCGGAAGGAAGCTGGGTGTGTGGCAAGGGTTGGGTAAGCGGGTGGGGGAGGAGGAAGGGGCAAAGGGCTGCCCCGAGGGGCCCACCAGTCACTGGGGGTTCTGTGTTTGCTCTTCCCTTTGCATGGAATGCTCCCCAGCCCTGGCTCCGCAGGCCCCTCCTTTGAGATCTGGCTGCTGAGGGATGGGGTAGGTGACACAAGGGCCTGCTTGTGTCTTCTATTACATGCGCCACTCTGAATTCTTATTGGGCTGCTAACTCACCTTGGGTCCCGGGCCCCCAGCACACAGGTCCCAGGGGGAGGGCGGGGCCTGTCTCTGAGCTGCAAGGAGGCACTTGATCGCCATTTGTTGGATGAATGAACAGAAAACTCACTGGTTTCCCACAGTACCACCCTACCTACCTCCTACATGGAAGGAGCAGGCAATGGGAGGCCTGACTCTGGGAGCTGTTCTAAGTGCTGAGTATGGGAGGCTGGCCCACTCAGCTCCAGCCCCTCTAACAGGAGGTGGAGAAATGAACAGGAGCCCTTCTCTGGAGGACGGACACCCTGTGCTCCCCCACTCCACCTGCTGGAGCGGCACTTCCCATTTCTGCTCTGGAGGCTTCTGGTTGTCACTCTCAGGCAGAGGAGAGCAAAGGGGAACCCTACCAATTGCAAAGAAACAAAGTTGCCCAACCCCAAGCTGGTCACAGGTGAAAGCAGTGAGGAGTCACAGAATCAGCTCGGCGAGTCCAAGGACCCCTGGCATTTGCTTCAAAAACTCTCATTTGCGCCCAGCCACTGTGACTCAGTGGTTGAATGTTGACCTATGAACCAGGAGGTCACGGCTCAATTCCCCATCAGGGCACATGCTCAGGCTGTGGGAGGCAACCGATCAATGATTCTCTCTCATCATGGATGTTTCTCTCTCTCTCTCCCTCTCTGAAATCAATAAAAAGATATGAAAAAAAAGCCCTCATTTACTATGTGGAAACACAGGTTCAGAGAAGGGGAGACACTTGCCCCAGGTCACACAGCAAGCTTGGATGCTCTCAATGAAACATCTAAAATGTGAGGGCCTGGAGCTATAAGCCATTTATTGTGGCCTGGGATGCTCTGTTGGAGCATCCTGGGACAGGCTGGTATGGGGATAAGGGAAAGGAGGAGACATAATCCTGAGTTACTTTCCCTTCCAAACTATTTCCTGGACAAAGGGCCAAAGGGTCAGAGTCCTAGGCCTTAAAGTTGGCGGCTCCTCTAAGGGGGCCAGGCTTGGGCCAAGGGTGGAGGCCAAGCCTTCTTCCCTGTGTTCCTCCTGTGCATTCCCCCGACTTGGGCTTATGGGGAGGCAGAGGATGGTGCTTAAGGGGGACCTTCCTACCCTCCACCAGCAGACCCTCCTCCCCGGCTCTGCCTCCAGCCCTGCATTCTGGCTCTCCTTTTCCAAGTTGTGAGCAGAATCACCAAGTTGGCAGGGAGTAGGCTCTGCGAAGGGCAGCAGCACGCTATGCTACATGAACAAAGGACCAAGGTCCTCCAGAGCTGAGGAGACCATGACGTGAAAGGCGCAGGGAGACAATGCCTACGCTGTCAAGAGCTAACTAGTTTTGGTAGAATTCTTTTTTTGTTTGTTTGTTAATCCTCACCCGAGGATATTTTTCCATTGATTTCTAGAGAGAGTAGAAGGGATGGAGAAGAGAGAGAGCAGAAGGGAAGGGAGAGAGAGAAAACACCGATGTGAGAGACACACATTGATTGGTTGCCTCCAGCACGCACCCTAACCAGGGCTGGGGTTCGAGCCTGCAACTGAGGTATGTGCTCTTGACTGGGAATTGAATCCATGACCCTTCAGTCGTCAGGCCAACACTCTAACCACTGGCCAGGACTTTTGGTAGAATTCTGGCTCAAGATTATATAATAAGTTCCAAACAAATATGGTCATGCGCTGCTTAGTAGATTCTTGGTCATGAGCAGGGTTAAAATGAAGAGGCCACTTTGACTTCCAGATGAAGCTCTGGCAGCTCATCTTACCAGCCCATGGACACATCTTGCCACCCGGCAGATCTCCCTTCTGCACCTCACACTGGGGGGGGGGGGGGGGTTAGGGTGGGAGTCATGGTCTTTCCTTTCAGAGCAAAATGACGGTGCTACTGGCTAGGCAATGGGGCTCTTCAGCAGGTTTTGGAAGCTGAGGCAAGGAGACAACATTCAAAGAAAGGATGAGTGTTTGTTCCCGGGGAACTTGACTTGGTAGCAGAGACAAAGGTGCAGATAGGACCTCAGATCCTACCTCTGGAATTAACTGACTGTGTGACATTTGTCAAGTCACAAACAGGTTTGAAAAAGACAGGCGTGGCATGAATAGCCTCCCCTGTTTGCACCTCACTTTTCCCCAGGGAGGAGGAAGCCCAATCAGACCGTCCCTAAGGACCTCCCAGCTCTAGGACACAGGTCTACAGTCAAGGTCTACAGTCAAGGGCTGTGCAGAGATTTCAGATATGCCTGGAAGTGAGTGTATTCCAGGTGGGGCTGGGGTGATAATGGCACAGAGGCAGGAACAAAAGGGAGAGCCCAAGTGGCCCCCCAACAATCAGGTGGGAAAGCTCCGGCACTCAGCAGGAAAGGATCTTAAGCAATATCGCGCTCTAACTTTGGATTTTCAGAGGCAGGGCCTAGGGGAGACTCACCGATGCCCCCATGATGATGAAGACATGTGTTTCGGATTGATGGAAGGCATCACCCTGGTACAGCTCTTCCCGCAGGATCCCGCACACCTGGGTCCGGCTCAGGTCCACCTGCTCTGCCATGATGCTCTCTGCTGAGAGAAAGACTTGTTGGCAAGGCAGGAGAGCAGAAAAGCTTTGAGAAGTTGGTCCCTCTCTTAAGGGGTCTTTTGGGTTCTCACCCAGCTGAGGTCTAATGATTGAAACCACTCGCTGTGAATGCCGGGGGCAGGAGCAAGATGGGTGGGGGGGGGGTTTTAGAAACTTCTGGCTGTGGGTTCTGGCCATACTCCCCAGAGCAGCCTTCTTTCACAGTGTACGTTATAAAGTTACACAAAGCACCAGTGGATTCCAACTGGAGCCTCAATGCTGGGGAGTGAGCAAAACTCTGCTGGAGCATCTCACCCAGGAAACCAGGTGGAAACTCCCCAATGAGCTGGATGGAGCATGTGAGACCCTGCAGCTCCAGCCGTCTTCCGGCCAAGCTGGGAGACTCCGGCAAGTCCCTGTCCCTCTCAGGGTCTCAGTCTCCTGAGGGGTCCAATGGGGACGATTGGATGTGAGACCCTTTGATTTTGCCCGGCTACCCAGCGCGGCACATCGGAGGGCCTCGCGGCGCAGCACGCGCCTCGGACGGCGTGACACTCACCCGCTTCGTTACCTGTGCCTCGTTGCCGCCGCCCGTCGCGCTCGCAGCCCTGGAGTTCCTGGCAGTTTCCGGGGGCTGAGACCCGCCGGTCCATTTAACTAGCGGAGGCGGGCGCCCGAGCTGAGCTGACCGCCTCAGGCGAGGCGCGCGGGCGGGGCCTCCACGGACCCCGCCCTTGCGGGGGCGGGGCGCGGGCAGGTGCGCGCGCATCCCAGGCTGCGCGAGGGCGGGGCCCCCTCCAGCGCGAGGTCTCCTCCCTTTGCCCGCCCCGCCCCTTGGGCACCTGCGCCGGTTCTTGCGCCGCAGTCAGGCTGCTGTTCCCGCCGCCGCTGTTCCGCGTACCTGATGCCTAGCAGGTTCGGGCGCAGCTCTGCGCCGTTCGCTCACTCATCCATCCCAGGCTCGGCCCGGCCCCTGCAACCGGCTTTCTCCTCCGACCCCGGTCGCCCTGCGCCCTCGCGAAGGGCTCCACATCCGCCGGCGGCGTGGCCACGCCTCCTGGACCCCCGTTTACGGCATGGCCCCGCCTCCTGGTCCAGACAGGTCGCCGGCTGGGGTCAAACCAGCCCTATTAAATCGCCTCGTCGTGGCTCCTCCCCTTGCGGGGGCGGGACGGCCGAGCGACCGGGGGCTGGATGCCGCCGCTGGAGAGACTAGGGGAAGTGTGGGCTTGACGCCGGGAAAAGCAGCGGGTGGTACACGTCACTAGGGAACGTACTGCGGGCCGACTGAGGCTGGCGGGTTCGGGCTTTCTTGGGAAACAGCCTCCTTCACACCTCTTGCCGGCCTCCTGGGTGGGGCGGGGCTTGCGTGTTTTACTTCCGGGTACCACAGCAACGACACCGGAAGCCGGAAGTGGGGATTTCAGCGGCCGGAGAAGGGAAGAGCTACCGCGGAGTCGGGACTTGCTTGGAGTGACGGGCTCGAGGGGCGCTCGCGACCCGCTGCTCCCGCCCTTCTCACGTCGGATCGATTCTGCTGACAGGTGTGGCCCTCTTCCCCGAAGACAGGAAGACAGGGTACCATCGGTGGGCGTTCCGCCGCCTCCTAGATTCCCCCGGACGTCCAGGCTTCCTACTCCTGTTGGGCCCAGGTCCGTTTCTGCCGCCCGCTGCTAGGGCACTGGCCCAGGCGGGGCCGATGCTGGACCCAGATTACTTTGGCGGCGAGCTTGACTGTTCCGCTTGTCCCTCCTCCGCGGCCGCGGAGTTTGACCACGCCCCTAGTTCGTGGATGATTCTTCTAGTTCGGAGACATTTTCTGTTCATCAAACTTGACTGCATTTGAGGTTGTTAAATTCTTTAATAAGGTCCCAATACAGTTTGGCAGCTATCTTACCTCCACGTGCCTCCGTTTGCTCACTTTGCAAAAACGATTAATGTCTACCCGACCTCATACCATGTGAGTGTGTGTGTGTGTGAGAGAGACTCGAGAATGAATGGGCCATCCTGGCATGTTTTAAAAACAGCAAAGTGGCCACTATAGCTGGAGCGGAGTAAGGCACTTGGAGAGGAAGTAATGGGGAATCAGATGGTACAGGATCTTTAGGCTCTAGTAGGAATTTTGGCTTTTACACGGAGGGCAATGAGGAGCCATAGTAGGCGTCTGATTAGAGCAGGGACGTGATTGGAATTACTCTTTTAGGCTGATTTTTCTGGCCGACTGTAGGGAGCAAGGTTAGGAACAGGGTGGCCTGTTAGGAGGCTATTGCAGTAATCCAAGGGAGAGATATGGAACTTTGAGCATTTTATTATGAAAATTTAAAAGATGTACAAAAGTAGGAAGAATAGTATAGTAAACTCCATGTACCCACATCCCAGCTTGAACAATTATCAACTCATGGCTAATTTTGTTTCATTTATACCCCTTATAATCCTGTCTCATTATTATTATTTTTCAAGAACAGCTTTATTGAGTTGTAATTCATACACCACAGAATTCACCCATTTAAAGTGTACAATTCACTGGTTTTTAGGATATTCAGAGTTGTACAATCCTCACTAGTAATTCCAAAACATTTTCATCAATTCAAAAAGAAGCCCTGTGCCCTTTAGCTATCACCTCCATCACTCCATCTCCAGTACCTCTAAACATCCACTAAGCTTTCTTTTTTTTAAACTTTTGTTTTTTAGTTATTTCAGAGAGAGGAAGGGAGAGCAGGAATCATTGATTGGCTGCCTCCTGCATGCTTCCTATTGGCGATCAAGGCCACAATCTGGGCATGTGCCTTGACTGGGAATCACACAGTGACCTCCTGGTTCATGGGTCGATGCTCAACCACTGAGCCACACCAACAGGGCAGCTTTCTGTCTATATATTTGCTTATTCTATACATTTCATATAAACAGAATCATACAATATGTGGTCTTTTGTTTCTTTTTTTATTTTTTGTTAATCCTCACCTGAGGATATTTTTCCATTGATTTTTAGACAGAATGGAAGGGAGGGGGAGAGCTAGAGAGAGAAACATCAATGTGAGAGAGACACATCAATTGGTGATTGGTTGCCTGTAGTAGGCCAGGCTGGAAATAGAACCTGCAACCGAGGTATGTGCTCTTGACCAGAAATCCTTCAGTGTGTGGGCTGGCGCTCTAACCACTGATCACACCGGCCAGGGCATGAAATTCTTAATTTCAGCTTACAGCCCAGAGACAGGTGCTAGACAAGAGTTTCTAATCAGTGCTGAACCATGGCTTTTCCAAGTCCCACATATGGGCCTGCACCTCCCTTTGGAATGGGAGTATGGGTCACCTCTTAGACCAAAAAGCCCATTTTCACATCCTGTTACACTAGACAGAGTGCTTGGCATTCTGCTTACAGGATGGCCCCAGAGCTGCTGACATCTGCGCTCCTTGTCCTGCAGGGGAATCTGCACAGGTCCCGTGTGACGCTCCTGCTGCCTTTCTCTTCCAAACCTTGACTTGTTGAATGAGCAGGCCCCCCTGGAAGAGTCCGCTGTGTGAGATGGTGCAGCCCAGCGGTGGCCCGGCTGGGGACCAGGACATGGGTGAAGAGTCTTCTCTGGGGAAGCCGGCCATGCTCCACCTGCCTTCGGAGCAGGGTGCTCCTGAGACCTTCCAGCGCTGCCTGGAGGAGAATCAAGAGCTCCGAGGTGAGGAGGACAGTGGGCGTGGAGTAAAAAGTCAGGGGACCCAGTCCTGCTGGGGGAAGGCTTATTCTGATCACCTGTGCCTCTGTGTCTGCTGGGTCTAGGCCAGTAGTTCTCAACCTTCCTAATGCCGTGACCCTTTAATACAGTTCCTCATGTTGTGACCCCCAATTTCATTGTTACAAATTGAACATAATTAAAGCATAGTGATTAATCACAAAAACAATATGTAATTATATATGTGTTTTCCGATGGTCTTAGGCGACCCCTGTGAAAGGGTCGTTCTACCCCCAAAGGGGTCGCGACCCACAGGTTGAGAACCGCTGCTCTAGGCAGACGTCTGAGAGCCAGCTAGCAATTCAAGCTCAGTCACCCTCCCTCAGTGTTTCAGGTGGGGTTCCCTGGAAGCATACTGTGAGACAGAGATGAATGTGCAGGAAGTTTCTGTTTTTAAAAAATTGATTTCAGAGGGGAAGGGGGAGAGAGACAGAAACGTCAATGATGAGAGAGAAGCATTGATCAGCTGCCTCCTGCACGCCCCCCACTGGGGATCGAGCCCACAACCCAGGCATGTACCCTGACCGGTAATCGAACCATGATCTCCTGATCCATAGGTAGATGCTCAACCACTGAGCCACACCGGCTGGGTAGGAAGTTTATTTAGAATGCTCTGAGGACCAGAAGAGGAAGAGAAGGGAAGGGAAGGACAGGGAAGAGGCAGGGGTGGGCAGAGGGAGAAGCTGGGCTGCAGTGCAGGCCAAGCTCTGGAGCTGGAATGACCCTTCTGAGTTGTCCCAAGTTGGGCCAATGTGGCCAGGTGTTTATACTTCCATACTGATTAGTCATTAAGCGCTGGCTATCCTGGGAAGGGGGCATGGCCTTCTGTGGGAAGGGGCGTAGCCTGCCCTGGGAAGGGGCGTGGCCTGCCCTGGGAAGGGCCTATGGGCTGCTTTGGGAAAGAAAGGGAGGAGTCTTGGGCCACCTCGGGCCAGGTGTCTCTGTGAAGGGCCTTCAGCTGAAGGCCGTCCTCCAGCTGCCTCCTCCCCACATGTGGATGGGGGTTGAGTTTTTTCCTGGCCACCCCTTCCCTGTCTCCACCACAGCCCCCACTCTCACCCCCCACATCCTCACCTGAATCGGGGGCAGTTTCTCCAGGTCCCAGTGGCCATTGTACTGTGCCCCTCAGGCACCATACCATGGCTGTCCCTGGGTGTGGTGCATCCTCCCTCCTCTGTGTGACAAGGCCTCACCCCTTGATCATACCTCCGGGGCTCCAAATCTGCTCCTTTGGTACTTAGGTGTAGCCCCAGGTGCCCAGGTGGCATCTCTAGCTTCCTATTCAATGAGACTCTGTGTGAGAGGCGGCTCGGTGTTATGGGGAATGCACTGTGCCAGGCCAGGGGGCTGGCAGGCTGGCTGCCAGAGCTTACCTCCCCTCGGCTGTTTCCTCTGCTGCCAGATGCCATCCGGCAGAGCAACCAGATGCTGCGGGAGTGCTGCGAGGAGCTGCAGCGTTTCCAGGGCAGCCAGAGGGAGGAGAAGGAGTTCCTCATGCAGAAGTTCCAGGAGGCCAGGAAACTGGTGGAGAGACTGAACCTGGAGAAGCTGGACCTGAAGAGGCAGCGGGAGCAGGCCCTGCAGGAGGTGGAGCACCTGAAGAGATGCCAGCAGGTAGCCCAGGGGGCAGGCAGGCCTTCTCCCAGGAGCGGCCAAGCTAGGGGCTCTGGCCACCTGTGCGACCAGCCTCAGGCGTTCTGCAAACCCACAGGGATGTCAGTGTTTCCAGAGGGGTCCCCCAGAGCACCCTCAGGAGTGGCGGTTACTATGGAGGGGTTACTGCCCAGGGGTCAGTGATGGGGAGGACTGAGTCTCAACCCTGGGCTAGAGCAGCTTGAGGTTACGGGGATCTGGTCCGGACTGTTTGATGAGGGAGATCAGGCAATTGCGAGTTTCGACATCTTTTGTTTAGAAACCTATTTTAAAAATTAATTTCACAGAGGAAGAGAGAGTGAGAGAGACATAGAAATACCAATGATGAGGGAGAATCACCGAATGGCTGCCTCCTGCACGCCCCCTACCAGGGACTGAGCCCGAAGCCCAGGCATGTGCCCTGACTGGGAATGGAACCGTGAGCTCCTAGTTCCTAGGCTGACACTCAACCGCTGAGCCACTCCGGCTAAGCAACTCTTTTTTTTTTTAATCCTCACCCGAAGATATTTTTTCATTGATTTTGAGAGAGAGTGGAAGAGAGAGGGAAAGACAGAAATATCAATGTGAGAGAAACACATCGATTGGTTGCCTCCTGCACGAGCCCCGACCAGGGCTCAGGACAGGGAGGAGTCTGCAACCAGGTATGTGCCCTTGACTGGAATGGAACCCGGGACCCTTTGGTCTGCAGGCTGATGTTCTATCCACTGAGCTAAACCGGCAAGGGCTCTTTTTTTTTTTTTTTTTTTTTACTATTTAGCCTGAAAACTTGATCTACATATTTTTTTTCTTTTTAAAAATATTTTTATTGATTTCAGAGAGAGAAGGAGAAGGAGAGAGAGATAGAAACATCCATGATGAGAGAGAATAATTGATCGGCTGTCTCCTGCACGCCCCACACTGGGGATTGAGCCTGCAACCCAGCATGTGCCCTGACTGGGAATTGAACCATGACCTCCTGGTTCATAGGTCGATGCTCACCTTCTGAGCCAAACCGGCTGGGCTAGACAACTTTTGAATTTTGTGGCTGGCAGAGGTCTTCTGGGAATGGTGTCATTAACACCTTACCTTCTAGTGGCCCGGGGCCTGTGGAATAGAGCGTGTACTTTTGTCGCTGTCTTTGTGTCTCGCCTCCCTTGGCATCTTGTCTCAGAGAGGCTGAGAGATTCCTGCAGGGCTCAGTCCTCACGGCCTGGTCGTCAGTGTTAGGAGACTTGAGGCCGTTCTGTGCTGGGTCTCATCATACCCCATCCGCAGAGGTGAGGAGGGGCTCATGGGACTCGACCCCTCTCCATTGCATCAGTTGCCTGGCTGGGGTTTGGCAACTTCTGAAGGCGAGAGGTGAGATGAGTAGGGGTGCCAAGGGCAGGAGAGAAGCCCTCAGGGTGGCGCATCTTAGCACTTGCAGGCTGCCCCAGGGTTTGGGGCCACCAAGGGTGGGCAGCTGGTGAGAAAGCATTGCTGACAGGAAGTGGCTCTTTTTCATGTAGCAGATGGCTGAGGACAAGGCCTCGGTGAAAGCCCAGGTGACGTCCTTGCTGGGGGAGCTCCAGGAGAGCCAGAGTCGCTTGGAGGCTGCCACCAAGGATCGGCAGGCTTTGGAAGCCAGGTGAGTGGCGAGGACACGCCCACCTGGAGGCCTCTGTCAGGGCACCTGAGAAGACTGAGGCCATTTAGGTGTCTCCGGGGGTTACTCTGTGAGGGGGGACTGGAGGACTGTGAGTGAGCACAGGGGCATGGAGACAGGTGCTTAGCTGAGCTGTGCCCTGACCAGGAATCAAACCGTGACCTCCTGGTTCATAGGTCGATGTTCAACCACCGAGCCATGCTGGCTGGGCATCAGCACCTAACTTTTATCTGGTAACAGATGGAAATGTGTGTTACATATACATATACATATACATGTACATGTACATGTATATATACACTGAGTGGCCAGATTATTATGATCACCTGACATTTGTAGGCAAATTAGCTATTTCATGCTGAAGTTGCTAGAGGGCTAGACCATTATAAACGTCTGAATAGCACAACATACCTAGGTATCATTGCTGATCAAGTTCATTCTATCATGTTGATGGTGTATCCCAATGGAGATGGCTTCTTCCAACAAGACAATGCTCCATGCCACGGTGCTCGTATTGTGCAGGAGTGGTTTCAAGAACATGAGGGAGACTTTACCTTGCTTAGGTGGCCCCCACAATCACCAGATCTCAATCCAATTGAGAATTTGTGGGACGAAGTTACAAGAGCCATCAGGCAGCACATTCCACAACCATCAAATCTCACAGAACTGGACAGTGCTATTCATCAGGCATGGTGTCAGATTCCTCGCATCACCTTTCACCGTCTCGTGGAGTCAATGCCAAGAAGAATCGCCGCAGTATTGAAGGCAAAAGGTGGCCCAACGAAGTACTGATGGGGTGGTCATAATAATCTGGCCAGTCATAATAATCTGGCCACTCCGTGTATATGTATATGTATATGTAAGTGTAAATGTAAATGTATATCTATAGTAGTATATATATATATTTGGACAGGTGTGGGAAAAAAACCCCAGTAACCTGCCCCCATCCAGAAACACTCACTGTTGCCCTCACATTGGGGCCTATGGAAGGCCTCAGGACGGCAGGGTGACATGCCGGAACCTGGAACTGCAGATTTAGGGGGATATGAGTGTGGAGACGGGAGATTGGGGGCTATGGGGTAATACGGGGCCTGAATCGGAAGACTGGGGGCTGTGGGGGGACCCAGGGGAGAAGAGACGAGCTGCTACAGCAGGAGTACAGAGGGAAAGAGGAATTTCCTGCCCAGGCTACTGCTGCCCCCTAGGCAGGCCAGTGGGAGGCTCTCCTCACAGGGATGGATGTTTGGGTCTCCAAATGAGCCACTGAGGTGGGCCAGTCACTTCCTTGCCACTTCTAGAATAGTGACTGGGAGGGAAAGAGTTGCCTGAGCACACTGACCCTGCCTCCCCCTCCAGTTGCCCCACCCGTTTTTTTCTTTTCAAAAAAAATATTTCTATTGATTTCAGAGAGGAAGGGAGAAGGAGAGAGAGAGAGAAACATCAATGATGAGAGAGAATCATGGATTGCTTGCACATGCAGTCACTGGGGATGGAGCCTGCTACCCCGGGCATGTGCCCTGACTGGGAATCGAACCGTGACCTTCTGGTTCATAGGTCAATGCTCAACCATTGAGCCACGCTAGCCGGACAACCCCCAACCTATTTCTTTTCTTTTTAAAATATATTTTATTGATTTTTGCCGAAACCGGTTTGGCTCAGTGGATAGAGTGTCGGCCTGCGGACTGAGGGGTCCCGGGTTCGATTCCGGTCAAGGGCATGTGCCTGGGTTGCGGGCACATCCCCAGTAGGAGATGTGCAGGAGGCAGCTGATCGATGTTTCTCTCTCATCGATGTTTCTAACTCTCTATCTCTCTCCCTTCCTCTCTGTAAAAAAATCAATAAAATATATTTAAAAAATAAATAAATAAAATACATTTTATTGATTTTTTATAGAGAGAAAGGGAAAGGGAGAGGGATAGAGAGTTTGAAACATCGATGAGAGGAACATCGATCAGCTGACTCCTGCACACGCCCTACTGGGGATGTGCCCGCAACCAAGGTACATGCCCATGACCGGAATCGAACCTAGGACCCTTCAGTCCGCAGGCCAACGCTCTATCCACTGAGCCAAACCGGTTAGGGCCCAACCATTTCTTACCTTGCTCCCCCCGCCACCTTCTAGAAAGGCTTATTTTTTCTGGCTGCCTCCACTTCCTCTCCTCCCAATCTCTCCTGGCCCCTCCACGGAGACTGCTCTGGCTGGGTCCCCATCCCCCGCCTGTTGGCCCCTAAGGGGTGGTTCCTGAGAGCTTCTCTCCCCTGGCCGCAGCAGCATCCTCTTCTGGGATCACTGCTTCACCTTTGAAGGGGCTTCCATAATGGATGGCATCAGCCTGAACCTGAGACCCAGGTTTCCTAGGCACCTGCACTTGGTGGTTGGCTGGGTCCCTGCATTGACACAAACACGTTGCCCCAAACCTGGTGCCCTGCAGTTGTCGCTGTCTCCAGTGACAGTGCCTCCTCCTTTCTTTCTTCTTTTTTTTTTAAAAATATATTTTTATTGATTTTTTACAGAGAGGAAGGGAGATAGAGAGTTAGAAACATCGATGAGAGAGAAACATCGATCAGCCGCCTCCTGCACATCTCCTACTGGGGATGTGCCCGCAACCCAGGTACATGCCCTTGACCGGAATCGAACCTGGGACCTTTCAGTCCGCAGGCCGACGCTCTATCCACTGAGCCAAACCGGTTTCGGCTTCTTTCTTCTTTTTTGTTGTTGTTAATCCTCACCCCAGGATATTTTCCCATTGATTTTTAGAGGGAGTGGAAGGGAGGGGAGAGACAGAGAGAGAAACATCAATGTGAGAGAGAGACATCGATTGGTTGCCTCCTGCATGTTCCCTAACTGAGGCTGGGGATCGAGCCTGCAACTGAGTTAGGTGCCCTTAACTGGAATTGAACCTGGGACCCTTCAGTCCAAGGACTGATGTTCTATCCACTGAGCCAAACCAGCTAGGGCAACCTCTCTCTTTCTCACACTGTGTTGGCTCTGCATTGACAGGATGTTCTGAACCAAGACTCCTCCCCATGCTCCCAGGGCCCGTCCTCTCTCCTCAGACTGCAGAGCTTCTAGTGCTCTCTGGCTCCCACCTGCCTTTCGCCGGCAGTCCTTCTCAGCACAGCAGGGCTCCTGTGAGCACCCTCACTCCTGCTGGGGCCCCACTGTGACCTCCCTGTTCCCCCATGCAGGGCCCGGGCAGCCATTGAGCAGGCCCGGCAGCTGGAGAGCGAGCGGGAGGCGCTGCAGCAGCAGCACAGCGTGCAGGTGGACCAGCTGCGCATGCAGAACCAGAGCATGGAGGCTGCTCTGCGCAAGGAGCGCCAGGTTGCCTCGGAGGAGAAGTGAGTGGTGCCTGACATGGGAGGGATGGAGACCGGAGGGATGTCGGAGGGATGTCGGTGGCTTTCTACCTGTGGGAGAGCCCTTCTAGGGACTGTCTGTGGCTGAGGGCCGGATTCAGTTCCTTAACCATTATCACATCCAAGTGATTCATACTTGAAATGACAACATTCTCCAGGCCATATTCAGACTCTACTGTTTGGCCCACGTGTTAACGGCGTCTGGTCCAGGGTCCTTCATTCCTTTTGTTGGTATACCTTTGACTAGTCCTGCCTTTCTGTTTTTCATGAAGTTGACTTTTGTTGTTGTTTTTAATCGCCACCTGCGGATATTTTCCCCATTGATTCTTTCTTTATTTCATTTATTTTTTAAACGTTTTTATTGATTTTTAGTATTTCTAGGGAGAGGGATAGAGAGATGGAAGCATTGATGAGGGAGAAACATCATCAATTGGCTGTCTCCTGCATGCCCCTCACAGGGGATTGAGCCCACAACCCAGTCATGTGCCCTGACCAGGAATTGAACTGGTGACCTCTTGGTTCCTGGGTCAATGCTCAACCGCTGAGCTACACCAGGCTGGGCTTCTCATTGATTTTTAGAGAGAGTGGAAGGGAGGGGGAGAGACAGAGAGAGAGAAACATTGATGTGAGAGAGACACATCGATTGGTTGCCTCCCACACGTGCCCCAACCAGGGTCAGGGATCGAGCCTGCAACCGAGGTACATGCTCTTGACCAGAATCAAACCCAGGACCCTTCAGTTCACAGGCTGACACTCTATCCACTGAGCCTTACTGGCTAGGGTATGAAGTTGACTTTTTTAAAGAGTGCAGACAGCTCCATTTTATTATAAACATCTCTTTTCATACTTCAAAATATGCTAGTTATGAGGAAAATAATATTAACTATTTAGCCAAGCGTGCCTCGGAACTGATGGCCCTCTAAAGGGCACGTATGTGCCCCTGGGAGCCCCGTTTCGGGGGTTAGTGGAAGGAAGAAAGAGGGGCGGAGTTGGAAGCAGGAAAAACTGTGGCTGGTCCAGGACAAGGTGGTTCCTCCAGCGAAAGCTCCTTTTTCTTAGGCGGAAGCTGGCGCAGCTCCAGGCAGCCTATCACCAGCTCTTCCAAGATTATGACAACCGTATGAAGAGCAGCCCAGGGAGCAATGAGCGAAACCGAGTGAGTATGGCGGGCACACCCCAGGAACTGCCTAGGACTGAGCTGACCCGGCTCCTCTCCCATGGGGCCTGCTCTCCCAAATGCGAGGGAGGGATACTCGACTTCGAGTTTTGTCAAGGCTGCAGTGTGATGGCTAGGGTAGACTACGGGGAGATGGGGACACTTGGCCTGTGCTGCTCGCTGCCTATGGTGGCCTGGGTTGGGTCTCCACCCCCTCCCTGGGCTGGGTCCTCTTGCTAGCCGTCACCAGTTTGGCTCCTGGCTCAGATTTCTCAGGGAATGTTTCCATCCCAGTGTTGAAGTCAGAGGGGAGCCCTTTGCTAGTTTGTCCTTATGAGACCTCTACTGGGTTCAGTTTTTGTTTTTTAAAAATATATTTGTATTGATTTCAGAGAGGATAGGAGAGGGAGGGAGAGAGAAACATCAATGATGAGAGAGAATCATCGATCAGCTGCCTCCTGCACACCCAACACCGGGATCGAGCCCACAACCCCGGGCATGTGCCCTGACCAGGAATCGAACCATGACCTCCTGGTTCATAGGTCGACGCTCAACCACTGGGCCATGCCGGCTGGGCTGAGTACCGTTTTTAGTGATCACATTTTAAGAAGGATTCTGGGAAGGGAGTGTTGGCCTGGGTGGGAGCCTGTGCCAGATGACCTCAGAGGTCCTCTTCAGCCTGGTCAAACACGAATATACGCAGAAGAGACTTATAAGGGTAAAGCCTGAAACCAGTTACACAGAAAGAGTTAGTTGCCAAACTGTGGCCCTTAGATCTCCAGAGGGATGGTTGGGTGGTGTGTGTGCATGCATGTGGGCTTGTGTCTGTGTATCTGTGCATGTGTCTATCTGTATGTGTCTGTATGTTGTTTGTGTGCCCGTGTATTTGTGCTATGACTGAGTGGATCTGTCTGTGTATGAGTGCGAGTGTCGTGGTGTGAGTGTGTGTATGTGTGTGTCTGAGTGCAAGTGTCTGTGTGAGTGTGTGTGTGTGTGTGTGTGAGTGCGAGTGTCTGTGTGTGTATGTGTGTGTATGTGTGTGAGTGTGTGTGAGTGTGTGTATGTGTGTGTCTGAGTGCGAGTGTCTGTGTGTGAGTGTGTGTATGTGTGTGTCTGAGTGCGAGTGTCTGTGTGAGTGTGTGTGTATGTGTGTGAGTGCGAGTGTCTGTGTGTGAGTGTGTGTGTATGTGTGTGTGTGAGTGTGAGTGTCTGTGTGTGTGTATGTGTGTGTCTGAGTGCGAGTGTCTGTGTGAGTGTGTGTGTATATGGGTGTCTGGGAGGGACCAGCAGACCTTTGATCAGGTGGCAGAGTGGAAGGACCGATGCGTTTTGGTGTAGTGGGTGGGTGGTGGAGTGTTAGTTTGGGAGAACAGCTCAGCGTGGAGCAGGCAGCCTCAGGAGGGAGTGTGGCTCTTGGCCTTTGATGGGTTGGAGGAGGGCTGTCCAGCTGGGATTCTGGGAAGGGAGTGTTGGCCTGGGTGGGAGCTTGTGCCAGATGACCTCAGAGGTCCTCTTCAGCCTCCACCTTCCCATGCCCTGCACACACTGATATCTTGTGGCTGGCGGGCCACCTGGGTCCGATCTTTTGTTCCTCTTAGTTCTTCTCGCCTGAAGTAGCAGCTGGCCTGGGGGTGGCACGACCCCAGGCCTGGGCCAGCTCGGGCTTCATCAGCTCCCCTCGCCCATCCCTAGGGAATGCAGCTGGAAGATCTCAAGCAGCAGCTCCAGCAGGCCGAGGAGGCCCTGGTGGCTAAGCAGGAATTGATTGATAAGCTGAAGGAAGAGGCTGAGCAGCACAAGATTGTGATGGAGACCGTTCCGGTGCTCAAGGCCCAGGTGAGGGTCTGTGGCCTACATGCGGGTGAGCAGGCCGGGCCTGCTGGCGCTGGCACCTGGCATGTCTCTGGTGTCATTTTGCAGTGGCTTCTCAGAAGCTCTTCGAGCCCCTTGACCTCTTGACTATTCCTTGGCCTCTCAGTGCACCTGGGGACTCTCTCTATGCCATGGCCATGGGAGGGTGGAAGCGGGCTCTGCCTTCGCCCCTGTGCCCGGCACAGTGTCCAAGGAGTGGCTGACGGGTGGTGGGCACGTTCCTCTCTCTTGGCTTTGCCAGGCGGATATCTACGAGGCTGATTTCCAGGCTGAGCGGCAGGCCCGGGAGAAGCTGGCCGAGAAGAAGGAGCTGCTGCAGGAGCAGCTGGAGCAGCTGCAGCGGGAGTACAGCAGGTTGAAGGTCAGCTGTCAGGAGTCGGCCAGGTAGGTCTTGGAGCACGTGGCGCATGCAGAGCAGAGCGGGATGGGGGCTGTGGGGGCTCCAGCAGTGAGCGCAAGAGACTGAGGGCTCCTGGCCCTCTGTCTCTCCTCCTGCCGCCCTGTCCTTCCATCAGCTTTATACGCCACTCAGAGCTTGGCTTGCACGTATTGATTGCATAGTTTCTCTTCTCAAAGGATTGAAGATATGAGGAAGCGGCATGTAGAGGTTGCCCAGCCCCCTGCCCAAGGTGAGAGCTGCAGGAGGAGGGGCTGGGAAGGGTAGGGTGCTGGCAGCCTGGGGAGCCTGGGCGGTGGGAGCTCAAATGGGCTGCTTCTCATTGGTACACTCCCCCCCTACCCCCCCAGAGGGTTGCTAAAGGGAAGGTGCTAGTGGCAGTGACCCTGGTAATTGGATCTGATGGTCCCATCAGGTCTCAGTACTTTCTGGCCCCTCCCCCCCTGCAGTTTGTGCTGTAACCAGCGCCTCTTCTCCTTCTGCAGCTCACCAGTCCTTTCACCCCGCGTTCATCCAGAGAACGCTCCCCGAGGAGCCACCTGACTTCTGTTGCCCCAAGTGCCAGTATCAGGCTCCTGACATGGACACCCTGCAGATCCACGTCATGGAGTGCATTCAGTAGAGCCGCCTGCCGGCGACCAGCCCAGGACAGTGCAATCTCCGCTTCCCTCTCCCGCCTGCCTCGTTCCAGGCGAGGTGACGAAGAGCAGGCTGCTTCTTTGAGCGCCACGAGCTAGCTGCAGGGACTTCCGCTTCAGCTTCCCCGGCTGCTGGTTTGCCTCTTTTAGGGCCCACGGGGTCCCAGCCAGTCCTGATGCTGTGCTCTTTTTGTCCGTTCTGTCTGCTTGAACCACTTGCCTCTTGGGCTCCCTCTTCCACCTCCATTGGGGAAGTCAGGAATCAAGGTCAAGGCTCTCAGAGAGGACTGCTTCCCAGCCTGAGATGGGAGGGAGCCCTTCCTTCTGGCCCAGCTCCTGCGCATGCGCTGCGGGCACAGTCCTGGGCTGTGTGCTCTTCCGCTGGGAGGCTGCACCACGGCATTTGCCTTGTTGCCAGTCTTTTTATTGTCATAAATAATGCCACAGTGAAAATGCATTGGGTCAACCTTGTGTGTCTTTGGGTCAGATTCTTAGAAGCGGCCACACTGAGCATCTGCAAACAGGGTAGATGGTGCCGGTGCCCCCCAGTGTGGTTTCCTGCTCTCCCCTCGTTCCCCAGAGCCTTGCCCTGGTGAGGGGTGTCAACCGGTGGGCTTTTGCCATCATGTAGTTTTCATTAAGAGTGAGCGTGAGCGTCTTTCAGAGCTTCGGGGTCCTTTTCAATTCTGGTGTGAATGGCTTGTTTGTATCTGTTGACCAGTTTGCTCTTGGGTTGTTAGTCTTCTGTTCCTCGCTTTGTAGGAGCGCTTTGGTCATTAGTGGGGTCAGCTCTTCCGTGTGGTGGAAGTTGCAGTGATCTTTTCCCACCGTGACTTGGTACTAGCGTGGTTTGGACTTGAAGTTTGTTATCTTTGTGTAGTGACGTTTACCCACCCTTCCTCCACTGCTTTGGGTTTGGAGTTGTGGCCACCTCATGGTCTGATGGGGTGCAGGGGGGGATGCTTCTCCCAAGTACACTTTTTAAAAAATATATATATTTTTTATTGATTTTAGGAAGGAAGGGAGAAGGAGAGAGATAGAAACATCAATGATGAGAGAGAATCATCGACTGGCTGCCTCCTGCACGCCCCACACTGGAGATTAAGCCTGCAACCCGGGCATGTGCCCTGACCGGGAATCGAACTGTGACCTCTTGGTTCATAGGTTGACGCTCAACCACTGAGCCACATTGGCCAGGCAACCACTGCTCTTTTGAACCTTCCCTTTTGCCTGCTTCCTTCTGTAGGGGCCAACTCTGCATTCTACACCAGAGATTTTGAACCAGGTTGTTTGCCCAGAAGAGGGATTCTTCTTTCTTCTTTCTGGTTTTACTCTGGTTGAGCTTCCAGAACAAGTGGTGGGATTCTTCCGGTGAGGGAAGTAGCTTGCCTGCCTTCTTAGCTGTGGCCCCTTGGTTCTCATGAGCCTGGCTTTGGGAAGTAGATAGATAGCTAGAAGCACATCCTGCCGGAACCTATGTTGTTCCCTGTTGCTCACACACCTGCTGCTCGATGCTTTAAGAAAAATCCAGATGGCCAGTTAGCACAATAGGAAAGCGTTTCTCTTTCACCAGTAACTAAAACAACACAGACTCCAACTGAACAGAAAGTAATTTCAAAAGTGCAACAAATGATGTCTGCGGCCCTGCTGGCAAGGTGCAGGGGACAGGCCTGTGGTGCCACTCCTGGGTGGACCGGTTTGGCAGAATGGACATTCTCAGCCTGTTTAACTGTAAGAGATAGTCAGGTACTGTGACTCTGACATTGCAGACATGCTCACTGCACCATCATTGAAAATTTAAAAAAAATATTGATTTCAGAGAGGAAGGGAGAGGGAGAGAGATAGAAACATCAATGATGAGAGATAATCATTGATTGGCTGCCTCCTGCACGCCCCACACTGAGGGTTGAGCCCGCAACCTGACTGGGAATCAAATCTTGACCTCCTGGTTCATAGGTTGACGCTCAACCACTGAGCCACGCTGGCCGGGCTGCGTCATCATTTGTAGCTGCCAAAAGTTGTGGTGAAAGAGGAGGCTACACTCTGGACCACATGGGCCCACACAGCCAGGGTTGTGAACATCTTGCAGTGTGGAACCCGCTCTGCAGCAGGTTGGTGTGAAAAGGCCAGTAGACAAAATTATGTATAAGGTGTGACCCCAATAAAACAGTAACAGCTGCAGATGCACACCCTGCAACCATTTGGGTGGGAAAATGGTATTGTCATTGTCTTTTGAACAAGAACGAGGCCCTTTCTCTTAAGGCCACAAACTGCAGTATTTATGCATGAAATTATATGATGCTTTGTTAAGTGAGCTGTGAGAACATTACAATTTTTCTATATAAATGTTTGCATAACATTAGGAATAGCTGCTCTTTGAATGCTTGGTAAAACGGCTTAGATCTAATGGATTTCATGTGGGTGAGGGTAGATTTTAAACCACTGATTCAATTTCCTCGAAACTGAATTTAGTTGTACTCAGGTGTTTTGTTTCATGAGTAAGTTATATTTTCTTAGCACAATGTTCAGTTAATCACTTTTCAGATTTACTGCAATAAATTTATCCTATCATTTAAAAATCTCTGCTATACTGTATTATATACTTTTTACTCCTAACATTTCTATTCATAATGTCTAACTTTAAAAAAAATCAATCTTTCCAGCTGTTTGCCTAGTTTTTTTTTCTTTTTTCAAAGGTGTCTGGGGAATCCTTTAAAAAATGTTTCCAGCCCTGGCCAGTGTTGCTCAGTGGGTTGGAGCATTGTCCTGTGCATAGAAAGGTCAATTCCTGGTCAGGGCACACACCTGGGTTTCAGGTTCAATCCCCAGTCAGGGTGAGTAGGGGAGACAACTGATCAATGTTTCCTCTCTTGCATGGATGTTTTTTTTTCTCTCTCTCCCTTCCTCCCACACCTTTTTGTGCTTTTTAAAGAATACATATTTTTATTGCTTTCAGAGAGGAAGGGAGAGGATGAGAGAGATAGAAACATCAATGATGAGAGAGAATCATTGATTGGCTACCTCCTGCTCACCTCACATTGGGGATTGACCCCGAAATCTGGGCATGTGCCCTGACCAGGAATTGAACCGTGACCTGATTCATAGGTCAACGCTCACCCACTGAGCCACACTGGCTGGGCACCTTTTTGTGCTTTAAGTTTCTCTCTCCCCAAACAGGAGGCAGGGTTTGGGCAGTAGGCTATATAATAATCCACAAATGTATATTCCATAGCTATTTTAGCCAGTCCCCGATGTATAGGCCTTTATGCTGTTCTCATTTTTTAGTATTATAAACAGTGCTGAAATAAATATCCGGGTACATTTGTTTTTGTGCAATAGATATTTAGAAGGGGAATTGTTGGGTTGAAGTATAAACCCTTTAAAAAGTATTTGGTACATAAAATACTATGCAGCTGTAAAAAAGAATCTCTTACCCTTTGAGATAGCATGGAGGGACCTGGAGAGTATGATGCTAAGTGAAATAAGCCAGTCATAGAAAGACAAGTATCACATGATCTCACTCATATGTGGACTCTAATTAACATAATAAACTGATGAACAGAGTGGATCCAGAGACATGGAAGCATGGAACAGACTGCAGAATTTCAGAGGGAAGGTGGGGGAGGGTGGGAAGAGATCAACTAAAGAACTTGTGTGCCCTGGCCGACTCTGAGGCATCAAAAAGCTGGTGAACATAACCAAGGGCAGAGGAGACAGATCATCTCTGAAAGTGGTGAAGGCAGCAGCCCAGGTCTTGAATACATTATGGCAAAATCGGGACCTCCGGGCATTTATAAAAAGGATGGGTGGAATCAGAACCATTTTATTACACCTGTGTCGATGTTAGAGAGAGACCGATTCACCCTTCCTTGTCTACCACCAACCAACAGATGTCACCCATCATTCAGTCAGGCTCCAGCAAACCTTCACCAGTTTACATCAGTTCCTATTCCTCACCAGCAAGAGAACAAAATAGATGGCTACAGCCCTAACCGGTTTGGCTCAGTGGATAGAGCGTCGGCCTGCGGACTCAAGGGTCCCAGGTTTGATTCCGGTCAAGGGCATGTACCTTGGTTTCGGGCTCATCCCCAGTAGGGGGTGTGCAAGAGGCAGCTGATCGATGTTTCTCTATCCCTCTCCCTTCCTCTCTGTAAAAAATCAATAAAATATATTAAAAAAATAAAAATCATTCTCCCCTTAAAAAAAAAATAAATGGCTACAGCATCAACAGCTGTGTTATAGTCAAGATGACTCCCACAGAAAGAACTTTGATGCATACAGATTGTATTTGCAGTCTCCTCATAGCTATGAAGATCCTTATTTTGATGATCGAGTTCACTTTCCAGCTTCTACTGATTATACAACACAGTATGGACTGAAATCGACCACAAATTATGTAGACTTTTATTCCACTAAATGACCTTCTTATAGAGCAGAACAGTACCCAGGGGCCCCAGACTTGTGGGTGTAGCATCAAGATGCTCAGCGAGGAACTCTTTCTTTCTTTCTAGCCTTGTTTGGATTGAAACGAAAAGTCTGTTGTGCTGATGTGCTGATGAAATGTGAAAGTGACATGGAAGGAACGAGTGAAGAGCATTTATTTTCTTTTTTGAGGAATTATCAGGGAAGTGAGAAAACCTTTGAGAGAGAGAACTATCTAAGCCAGTGATGGCGAACCTATGACACACGTGTCAGAGGTGACACGAGAACTCATTTTTTTGGTTGATTTTTCTTTGTTAAATGGCATTTAAATATATAAAATAAATATCAAAAATATAAATCTTTGTTTTACTATGGTTGCAAATATCAAAAAATTTCTATATGTGACAGGGCACCAGAGTTAAGATAGGGTTTTTCAAAATGCTGACACGCTGAGCTCAAAAGTTTCGCCATCACCGATTTAAGCTCTATTTAGGTGTTAGATCTAATTACTTGTAGATTCCATAGTCTGGTGAAGGTGTGGGTGATGTGATGAGAGATTTAAGAAATTGGTGAAATGAGATGGGGATGCGTAGGTCAAATCAAATTAAAGATGATTTTTTAAAATGTGAATAAAGTTATGTTCTTATAGTTTGTACAGAAAAAAAATAAAATGGATACCCTTCAAAAAAACAAACTTGTGTGCATATATGCATAGCCCATGGACACAGACTATAGGGTGGTGAAGGCCTGGGGTGGGGCAGGCTGGATGGGGTCAATGGGGGAAAAGAGGGGACATATGTAATACTTCCAACAATATTCAAAACAAAACAAAATGAAAAGGTATTTGATACATATCATCAAATTGCCTCCCAAAGTTTGCACCAATTAGAACTCTAACCAATTGTGTATGAAAGATGCCATTTTCCTACCGCCCACCTCACACAGAATATGTTCAACCTTTTACATTTTTGTAAAACTAAATACATATAGTAACCAAAATCACATCTCAGTGTTGTTCCACTTTCCTGTTGATTTTAATGTAATTGAATGATAATGTGTGTGACATATGTCCAGTGGCATCTCGTCGTCTGAGAACTGTCTATTTGGGACAGTCATGGTTTTCATATTGATTGGGAAATGCTCTGTACATGTTCAGAATATCAAATCTTTATCCTAATTGGAAAATACGTTCCCTACTCATTGATGCATTTTAACTTTGTTCACCGTCCTTTTCCATGCATAAATAAAAAATGTAAATGTATTCAACGTGATCAATTTTTTCAAGATGTTCCCTGGATGTTTTGTCTTACAAAAAAGTAATGATAAAATTATAAAACTCTCCACTCACAAGATCCTTTAGTACTTTAACTTTTTAGTCATCTATGAAACTAATGTCAGTGATAAAGGACATTGGGATCTAACTTTGTTTTCTCTCCAAAGTTTGAGTCAGGGGTCCCAACACCATTTATTGAATAACCCATATTTCCCCACTGAGCTGAAATGTCATCTTCACCAAATTATAAATCCCCAGCACCAAATTCTTGCATATTTGTTCTTCCAGCTAATTTAGGTTGGGTGATTCCAGGATGACCTCTGAGGGAGTGATGGGAAGGATACAGTAGGTGGTGTGGGGAATGGGGTGAGGAGAGAGAGAGAGAGAGAGAGAGAGAGAGAGAGAGAGAGAGAGAGAGAGAGAGAGAGAAGAAAAGAGAAGAGATCCTAGCAGAAAAAAACAGGTTTCTTGAGAATGCTGGTAGCAAGACTCACAGAACTCTCAGCTGGGTGACATTTTGGAGGGATCGGTGGTTCTCCAAGTCTTCGCAACAATCTCAGTTCTCCCCATGAGAACTGGGGGGGAATTGGTGCTCTTGTATTCATGACAGAGACAGAGTGAGTTGGGAATGCAACTACCACTGTACTTTCATAGCTTTCAGGATACGTTTCCGGTTGGGTTTCCTTGGCATCTCAACCCTTTAGCTACATGCACTAAGGGACCCCATCAGCAAGGTTGGGGGGGGGCAGAAGGTTCTTTCCGGGTCTGGAGACCATCAGAGTGACGGTCTACCCAGGCGTCACCTTTAAAAATGGTTTCACGCAGCCTCTACCCAAATCCCAGAGCTGGCCTTCAGAGCACTTGGTCCCAGTTGCCCACTGGTGACGGTGACAGCTGGGTTGTCTGCTTCCCTCTCCTGCAATGTGAATGGAGTCTATCCCCACCTGGACCCAATAAGGAACTGCTCATCACACACACCACCTCGAATTTTCTGAGTGTGTTGCCTGATGGAGAGTGTCATCAAGAAGGGATGGCATTCTCACCTTCTGCTGGTGTAAGAATGACTTGTTGGGTGGAACTGAAGAGGCTCCTGTGACTTTGAAGAGGAAAAAAATCTGCAGTTGGAGGCCCTTGTCACTAGGTGGCTGCACATGCATGGGTTGTGACTTCATGGCACACTCCTCAGGCTTGTGAGCCAAGTGGAGGAAGAGATGGTGCCCCTTCAAACTCCTGCCTGGACCGTGGCATCTCCACACACTGCCCAGGCCACAGACTTACTTGTGACGTCACAATGACTATTCCAAGTTCAAGTGTAGAGAATGGATTCATCACCATATCTTCACACGTGCATATGACAGGAATCACAACAGTGTGGCCAAGTATCTTTTCCAAGTGATGGACATAATAGTCTACACGAATGCCTTTGCCTTCTCCCCTGAGCGGTGGGGGGGTGTCTGTGTCCCCGACCCTTGAATGTAGGCTGGCTCATGACTGCTTGCCCCAATGCAGCACAGTGGAGGTGATGCTGTGACTTCCAAGGCTGAGTCGTGGAAGGTGGTACCGCTTCTGGACTGTTCCCTGGACTGTGTGCTCTGGGAACCCTGAGTTGCCTGAGAAAAGATGGGCCACCTGAGGCTGCCATGCCGTGAAGAAGCCAAGCTGCATGGAGAGGCCGTGGGGAGGCGCTGTTGTCCACAGAGCCCCAGCCTCCCAGTTGTCCCAGGACCACAGGACACGGGAGGGAGGGGGCCCTCAGAGGATTCAGCTCACACCTGCCTGAGTCCCAGCAGAGGCTCCAGACACAGACACGGTGGATCAGAGACAACAAACACATCGCCACTCCCCTCTAGCCCATGTCCTGACCCACAGGCTCTGATCTGTGTGCA